TGTACCGCATCACCTTATGGCCCTGCTTACCTTGGGCTTAGCCATCTCCTGTTGCTATTGTCACACATTCAACAAAGGCAGAGAAATACTCACCCACTTTTCCGCGCGGAGCTACTGCAGTGGAGTGGGCCATCTTGATGGGTCCAAGAAGGGCAGGGGTTGGGGTGAGGGGATAAGACATGGCTCCACTTAACTCCAACCTCTGCAAAGGATACAAAATCCAGCCTCCCTCATCCACATCCCTGCAGAATCCCTCTGACAGATATTCCATTGTTCCCGGGGAGCAGATTAAGGCTGCGAGGAAAAGCTGGGAGGAGGCCCCAGAGCCCTGTGCAGATCTGACCTCCAAGGGACTGGTCTGATTTACCAAGGCATTTTCTGGGCCTTTGAATCCAAAGGTGAGCAAATTATCCTTACTGCATATGAGCAGAGTATGAGTATGAGGGGCTATTCCACTGAGAAGGGAGGCGGGAGCAGTGGCCCTTGGGGCCTTGATCTGTCCAGGAGTCTCACTGGTGCCTCCTCCCCCCGTAAACGTTGTTTCACTCTTGGTCCCAGATGCACTCAGGCCCACCAGCTGCAATCAATCTATCATCCAGCAACTGGTTTGAATAATCCACAGGTTCATTTGCAGTCCCTGAGGGCTCCAGGCAGGAGATGCAAAGGGCAGCTTTCCCTAGAGAGGTCTGACTGTAATGGGACCCTTTTCTGTTTTGCATCCTCAGGCTCCAATGAGAGTCTCTGAAGATGCTCAGTGGAAATTTTTTCTCACATTCCCTACCTCTTCTGACTGGTTCAGTAAGAAGAAGAGATTCTGCCCTGAGTTCTCCCCTCCCCACCATGAAGGAGCTAAAGGAAAAAGACCAGGACGAGGGAAAAAAAAATTTTTTTTGAGGTTAAACATTTTTATGTGAGCATTTTTTGCAGTTTAAGATACATCTCTGACTCCATAGCACAAAATTTGGAATATTTCCTACTTTGTAATTTTATCAGTTGCTGTTCCCCACACTATGTACGTACTCTTGGAGGGAGAAATTTTGGTTGATTTAATCTTTGAATGAACACATCCACTTTTGTGTTGATGAATGAATACATGCACTAATCTTTGTATGATGGTCTGTAGTTTATTATACACTTCTATATCGTTACCTTTAAGCCTCACAGAAACCTTGTGAATGGATGTTATTTTCTTGCACTTGACATAAAGGATTTGCTGAACCTCTTGACCATGTTCTGCCACCAAATCTACAGGACTGTAAAAGTCCAGCTCTTTGTGTGCCTCTGCCCAGTCTGGATGGGCTCTGGCCTTTTCACATTTGGCCTACTTTGAATGTCCTCAGTTTCCCTTTAGAGTCCAAACACTAACATTTATTGACAGTTTCCTCTGGGACAGACACTGTGTACTAAATGCTTTAGCTCACTCATCTCTTGGACTGAGATTACCTTAGGAGGTAGACATTAGTATCATTGTGATTTTCATTTTACAGATGTAGAAACTGAGGCTCAAGGAGATGCAATATCACGCCCATGACTCAGAGCCAGGACTCAAACCTAGGGACTGCATAGAGTTGAGGGTAGGGAGGAGCAGCTACCCAAGGAGCCTGTGGGTTTTCCCTTTGATCTTTCACTTTAGAGAGTTCTTCCCTGAATGCCCTCTCCCTGTCAAGTCACAGACAAACCCATAATGGTTGTGGATTCTTGTTCTCTTTGAATTGTCTTTAAGACCACTTTTCTCTTATTTTCTTCTAAAGCAACTGAGAGAAGGTCGAAAATTCATAGGACATCTTATTAAGAGAAATGAAAATCAAGTGAGAGATCAACCAGAACATTTAAAAAAGGCTATTTTTCTCTCATGGAAGTTGATTGACAGGTGAGTGTCCCAAGATGGAGCACCTTTGCAATGCCACATCCCAAACTGGTAAAGGTCGCACCCAGAAATGTTCCCCTTGAAGGCTCTCGTATGACCTTTTGTTTCCATGTGTGTAGAGATAATGCCCAAAGGACTAGGACCAGTGTCAGTAGAGAGTTTCTGACAAACAGCCAAGAGTGACGTCAGCACTTAATACCTGATACCTTCCCTTTCTGTTTCTTCTGCTCCAACCTCTCTCTCCCAACCTTGCTGCCACTTCCTGCCATTTCCTGTCCAGACCTGCCCTTCCTGGGCCACATCCCAGGCTCTAGAATGCTCCTGTTCTCCTTCCATCAACAGAAACTGTGTCAGTGTCTGTAACATCTTACTTTTTCCCAGAGCACGCTTGAAGTGAGCATTTCCCCCAAACTCTTGCCTCTCTTACATTAGGTAACTCTTCCCCAGTTTAGAAAGAGGTGCAGAGAGCTCCTGCAGCTTCTAATCAATCAGGACTGGCTCCTCGGCCTTTCTATCCTCCATTCTGCTCCTATAAACCAATCTTTCTTAGTAGGTAAGAAATTTCCATTCCTCTCAGATCTCTCCTAAAAATTCTTCTCTCCAGAGTGTCTGGGAAAACCCAGTAAGAACGGAAGTGTTCCTCTCTTAGTGTCTCTTTTTCCTTCCCCTCCATCATTTGCTTCTGACTCCTGCCCTTGGTTACTCTTCCCCTCCCCTAACACAAGATTTGTTTTAGGTGGGCTGACCAGGTAGCCCAAAGTAAAAGACGATTGGGAAAATTGAAAAAGAGATGTCATGCAGAGGAAACTCAAAGACAAGCAGAAATCACAGTGAAATTTTATCAGACACTGGGATAATTAGAAGGGGAAGGTGATGTTGGATTGGAGGTTTACCTAGTGCCCCTCAAGTCACAGGCCTTAGATCAGCCCTGGCTGCCCTCACCTGTGGGAGTTCCACCAGGTGGACCTCTACACTGCATCTTCAGCAACCAAGAGTCCCTCAGCTTGTCCACATGGAGTACAGATGTACAGAGAGACTTCATCAGTGAATCGTCCTTCACGCTAGAAACTTCACCTTCCCTGGGTGTTGAGGGAGTCTCCTGCAAGGATCCTGGGTCCACAGCAAGCCAGGCTTTTCATTTGGTTATGAACTTTCATCCAAAAAAATCTGAGTTTTGTTTTCATTTAGGACTTCTGATTTCTATTTAAAGTCAATGAATTTGGAGACCAAGTATTCTGGCCTTTTCTGGACACTTAGTTGGGCTTTACAGAAAGGAAGAAAGAGAATTGGAGAGAACTTCATCTAGCTGAAGGCAGGGTGACCACAGTGACAATGAGAATGTTGTCCTTGAAGCTCTTGTCAGTTCTCTCTTCGATGCCTTAGACTGTTGCAAACAATGGGATGATATTTCTTCATAATAAACACAGAGAGGGATTATCCATTTTCTTATCTTGGCAGGGGTCTCATTAAAGTAATGGCAACTTCAAACCAATTTTCTGTTTTTCTCTGTGCTGCATTAGATACTCTTAGTGAGGATGGATGCTCTTTTGTCAGCAGGTGTTGTTAGGAAAAAAAAGCATATTTCTGTATTCTTTAGGAATTGGAATGAAACTTCAAAATCTAATTTGTCTTACTGTAATAGCTATACTAACCTTAAATAGTCACATAAATAAGTATCATTTTAAGAAAACTATGAAAACTATATGTTTTCACAAATACTTTACTTTCCAATTAAAAAGTCTCAGGGCATTTGAATTATAAAGGGATGTATGTGTGTGAGACAGGGGGAGAAAGACAAATGGAGAAGAGAGAGAGTGTGGTATGTGTGAGTTATTTTTGCAATTTATGGATGTAAAGAAGTCTCTTAAATACATGCTTGGGGACTCAGGATCTCAAAACTTAGTCTTTTTGCTCCCAAGCTCATATTTTCTTTAGGGAACTGCCTTAGCCTGTTATGAGGGTAGCTTTCTTTTTACATTTTCCTTAGTAATTATGAGTTGTAAAAATACCTAATAAAAGAAGAGCTAGAGTTCCTAGTTTTTGAGTTCCAAGATATCTAGGGTTGAGTGTCTTATTTTGTGAATGACCCTTTGAGACAATGCTGATGATCCCTCATTCTGAAGAGTGACAGTAAAGAAGAAAGTTTTCCTTCTGCTCCAAAGGCCGCTCCCAGGGAAGCTGCCCTGACCCCATCAACTATTTCAAAGTGACCCAGAGCCAGTCACCTAGAGGCACAGGTGCCCCTTCATTGCCACAGACTCGGGTGCTGAGCACAGTAGACACTCATGCTCTGGCCTCTTTCTGCTCACTTCATTCTTTCCCCTTCATTCTTCTTTTCCTCTCTTCTCACTTTGACATTTCCATGGAAAAATGAAATGTTCAGTTGACCCTCCACTTCCCCACCTGCCATCTTTCATTTTGCCTTGGTCTCCAAGCACCTTCCCTCCATCATTGGTCTCTACACGCTTGCTCATCACTATCTCTGGAAACTCCTGGGATCCAAATGCTACCCTGTCACTCCACTGACAGTGTGCATGGCCTCTGCTTCAGTCAGATCCAAAGCCTCTTTCTGCACTCTGCACTCTCCTTGGAGCCTCTGCACCCTTGGTGGTCTTGGCCAGCCTTTCTTCCCTGGATCCCATTTCTCTGTGGTTTTCTAGTTTCTCTTCTACCTCTTGGACTGCATGCGGTCCCCTTCACTAGTCCCCTTGTCCCTATCTGTGGGTTAGTCAGTGGTCTACAGTAGGTTGACCACATACTTTTTCATCCAGATCAAAATGTCCTTGACAATTAAATGGTGTTCAATGGACAGCACACCACAGAACGTGTTCCAAGTGGATTGAAATGTCTGCTTGCCCACTCCTTAAGGCTTAGAGGAGGGGACAGTGAAGAGCTGAGGGCAGGATGCCAACGGACCCCATTAGGCACTTTCAGAAGTCCACCATTGCATGGCTTAGCTCCTTCTGCTTAGAGTCTCAATTCAGCTTTACATTCACAAGATAATTCAGTTACCCGAGAAGAAGTGTCAGCAGGTTTGGGGGATAAAAAATGGGAGAGAGAGAGATCTAGGCGAGGAAAAGGCAGAGCTCATTGGGCCAGAACTTGTCATCTCTCTGGGCTCCGGTCACTGGGGCTACCCTTTAAAGTAAAGATGAATTTGGTGCTGAAACCGCCTCCAGGCTCTTCTCAGCCCAGGGTTGCCCAAGATCAGTTGCACTGAGTGGCTAGCGGGATAGGCAGCCAGGATACATTTACACAAAATATTCCCAGAGTTGTAGGTGTTAAAGATGTTGGACATGGAAATAAACAGAACGACTGCATTGATGATGTAGAAGATGAGAAAGAAGCTGGTTGATTTAATGGCCCCCAAGTGAGCCTCCATGCTGGGGTCCCTAGAGCCCGTGGCATTGCTTTTCATGTGTAAGGTGTGTCTCTTGAGAGAGATGATCAGCAGAGTGGCTGCCAGGATGAACATGATCAGAGGAACCAAGATTCCCAAGTAATAGAAAAAAGCCAAGTAGACAATATTGGTCTCAGAGACATACTTGTTCTTAGTGGAATTGGAGGAAGGGGTATGAAAGGACATACTCACATACGCATTGAAGGTGTCTTTACAGAAGAGAGAGGTCAAGCCCAGGGACACCAGCACGGAGAGACTCACAAGCCAAGGCAGCAGCACCGTGATTCTCCTCTTCATCATAAGGAACAAAGGCTGAGTAAAGTTTGCAATTTTGAGACAATAGAAGACGTTGAGCCAGGCACCAAACCAGAGGTTGGCATAGTTCAGAAACAGCATGACGATTTTGAAGAATATGAACACTGTCTTTTGGTTATAAATGACTGGGAATACTTGACTGTAAGTAATGTCCAGCATCACCCAAATCTGTAGAAAGATCCTGGAACAACTCAGCATGAACATAAGGTAGTCCCCACAAGGGAGTCTCTTGTCCCTAACCCACTCAATCCCATAGATGGCCACGATGAAGCCATTCCCAAGTACACCAATGGCGCACAGGATTCCAGAGATCACCAACATGAAGGGGACTTTAGGCCCAGAAATGTCTTTGTCTGTGGCATCTGTATTCATCACTACCATTTCTTCTGACTCTGCCTTTCGGGGTTTCACACAAAGAACTGGTACCTACTCTGCAGCCTTCTGACCCTCACCCAATGTTATTGTAATTTCCCCCTTAGTTAATGGTTATTTCCAGTTTTTCTTCATTTGCTTGTCACATGACTGCAAGTTAGAGGCTTGCCATGCAAATTATGAGAGGATCTAGTTACTGGTTCTGTCTCCATTATTCATAATGGCCCATTTGTTTTGGGCTTTCAGAAGCTCATCAAATAGAATTTGCAATGTGTGTTCAGCTCAGCACCTTCTTATTTTATATTCTGTCCATATTCACCTGACAAGACAAGAATCCCAAGTGAGGAGTCTTAGGGTCTCCTGGCCTTTTTACTTGTCTTACAAGACCTGTGTTACTTCTGAAATCTTCTGTCAAAATGCACACTGCTTCTTTTACGTGCTTTCTTCCTCCTTTCTTATCTCCCTTATGATGGGAGAGGATTTTTTCCCCTATGGTTACTGTGAGTGTGAATAAGAACTTACCATACACTCACGCATGAGCCTCTTTACTTAGTGTCTTTCAGAAGGGCCAGCTACAACAAGGACCTCAGAGAAGCCAACATTGGGTGCTATCTGGGGGAACTAGAGATTAGAGAATCTTCATGACCTTTGTTTTCATTGTCACCAAAAACAACTGACTAACCTCTGCATGACTTTGGGCTCAGGAGTAGGTAGATTTAGGCTGGGAAGGTTTTGCAGTGTTCTTAACATGGTGTTGAAATTGGGAAATGTACAAACACTGCAACTCAAAAATTCTGACTTCTTACCTCTCACTGTGAATCACAGTGAACTCTGGAGTAATTTAAAAGACATGTGGGTCCAGGATTCATCACAACTCTACTAAATCAGAATCTTGGGTAGGACTGGCCTATATTTTTATGAAGCTAAAAGAGCATGCTGCTCATAGGTAACATGAAGTACCAAAGTTTTAGCTAGAAGCGAAAGTGCCTGGGCCAAATTTGGCCTGCACTTGTGTTTTATCTTGAATTGTATAGCCCTGCACAGTGAGAGTCTACCAGTGATTAACTTTTTTTTTTTTGTAATTGGCCAATATTTGAATTTAAAAGATTGCATACATGTGTACACAAACACACACACAAAATCTTCTCTTGAAAAATTAGAAGAATTTGGCAATATTTGATCTGCATGGTTAATTGCTTGAAGCTGGGCACTGTCTGTTTATTTTAAGCAATATATATACTTTTCAGTATGTTATCAATATCCCCTAGTTCCTAAGGCTTTTTTTTTTTTTGGCATGGGAGATTGAAGCCAGGGGGACTTAACTACTGAGCCATATCCCCAGCCCTTTGTTTTTTTTTTTTGTTGTTGTTGTTTTTTTCAGAGACAGGGTTTCATAAAGTTGATTAGGTCCTTGCTAAGTTGCTGAGGCTGGCATTGAACTTGGAATCCTCCCGCCTCAGCCTCCTGAGACACGGGGATTACAGGTGTGCATCACCATGCCCAGCTTCCTAATGCCTTATTTTTTATTTTTTAAATTGTTGATAGAACTTTATTTTTCTTTATTTATATGTGGTGATGAGAACCCAGTGCCTCACACATGCTAGGCAAGCGCTTTACCACTGAGCTACAACCTGAGCTCCCCTAATGCCTTCTTGACACTCAGTTTTGGTGCCACATGCTGTTTGCTTGTGTGCTTTCCCTATTCTATTGGGCAATTTGTATATGTTAGGCATTTGTACTATATATGGAGGAATGATAAAAATTAATTTTATTTAAAATAAAGAAGTCAGAAATTTATTATTATAAAATTTTACTGTTGTTAGATCATATTTGTATAAAATAGCACCAAAATAATACATTGCAAAACTAAGAAAGCATTGTTAAAAGAAATTAAAAAAAAAAAACACCTGTCAGAAGAGTAGCTGGCAAAGATTTTCTCCCATTCTTTAGGCTCTTTCTTGTTTCCTTTGCTCTTCAGAAGCTTTTTAATTTGAAACCATCTCTATTGATTCTTGGTTGTATTTCTTGAGCTTTAGGAGTCTTATTAAGGAAGTTGGTGCCTGAACCAATATATTGGAGTGTTGACCCTATGTTTTCTTTTAGCAGTTGCAGTGTTTTTGGTTTAATTCCTGGGTCTTTGATGCACTTTGAGTTGATTTTTGAACAAGATGAGAAATAGGGATCTTGTTTTATTCTTCTACATATGACTATTCAGTTTTCCCATCACAATTTGTTAAAAGACTGCCTTTTCTCCAATATATGTTTTTGGCACCTTTATCAAGGATCAGATGATTGTATCTGTGTGGGTTTTTTTTGTCTTAAGGAAATTTATTATTTTATGTCTTTGGAAGTCCTGAGAAAGAACGAAGGAACAGCACATTCCATGCCTAAAAGATAGCTCCTTATCTTTTCTGTGTGGGTTTGTGTTTGTGTCTTCAGCTCTTTGCCAGCTACTCTTCTCACAGGGGATTAATTTATAGAATATATAAAGAAATAAAAAAGCCTTGACATAAAAAAAAAGAAAAGAAAAAAACAAATAACCCAATCAATAAAGGGGTGAATGCACTCAAACAGACATTTCTCAAAAGAATAAATACAAATGGTCAACACATATATGAAAAAGCGTTCAACATCTTTAGCAATCAGGGAAATGCAAATAAAAGATATATGAAGATTTCATCTCACTGCAGTGAACACAAATAACAAATGTTTGTGAGGGTATGGAGGATAAAAGTACACTCATAAATTGTTGGTGGGACTGCAAATTAGTACTACAATTTTGGAAAGCAGAATGGAGATTCCTCAAAAGATTAAGAATGGAACCACCATATGACCCAGCTATCCCACTCCTTGGTATTTATCCAAGGGAACTAAAATCAGCCTACTGTAGTGATACATGCATACCAATGTTTATAGCAGTTCAGTTCACAATAGACAGGTTATGAAAGAGAATGTTATTTGGGCTGGGGATGTGGCTCAAGTGGTAGCGTGCTCGCTTGGCATGCGTGCGGCCCGGGTTCGATCCTCAGCACCACATACAAACAAAGATGTTGTGTCCGCCGAAAACTAAAAAAAATAAAATAAAATATTAAAATTCTCTCTCTATCTCTCTTAAAAAAAAAAAAGAGAATGTTATTTGTCCACAGTGGAGTTTTACTCGGCCATAACAAGAATGAAATTATGTCATTCTCAGAAATGGATAGAACTGAAGAACATCATGCTAAGTGAAATAAGCCAGACTTGGAAAGTCAAGGGTTGAATGTTTTGCCTCATATGTGGTAATTAGAGAGAGATGAGGAATTGAAAAGCAGGGTTGGGGGGGCTCTCATAAAAATAGAAGGGAGAATGGTGGAGTAGAATAAGGGAATTGAAGGGGAGGAAGAAGTGATGGAAAAAGAAAGAAATTGAAAAATGAAGCTGACCACATTATGCTATGAGCATGTATGAAGATATTACAATGAATTTTACTTTTATGTATATCTAAAATACACTGATTAAAACAAAACAATAAGTAGAAGGAAGATCAATAGAGTTGGAGGAAAGGGGAAACACTGGGGTTTGAAATGGAGCGAATAACTTGCATACATGAATATGTTAAAATGAACCCCCTATTGTGTATAACTCTCATGTACTAATAAAAACATCTAAAAATTAAATAAAAACTCATGTCAACCCAGAGACTTTTATAAGCATGCTCATAGCAACTCTTCTCTTTCTAGCTGGAAACCAGAAACAATGTATGCTGACAAGTTTTGCCTCTCCTGTAAGAGGCCCACTAGATTCTGTAGCTTCTCCTGATGGAGCAGAGTGGTATTTGTCAGCAGCTCCACATGTTCCAAAGTGCCATAGACATGAGCAAGAGGGGCAAGGAGGAGAGCAGCCGTGAGGTGTGGGGATGGATGCTGAGGCTCCACACAGACTGACAAATCCAAGCTACTCATAGTGCTATGTTTGTGTGGTTCATTTTTTGTTCTGTGATACTTTCTCATCTGGGGAGCTAGGACAGAGGTGCTGTGGTTTGAGTGTGTGGCCCAAATTTCATGTGTTGGAAATTCAATCCCCAGTGCAATAATGTTGACAGGTATGAACTTTAAGAGATGATTAGGTCATGAGGGCTCTGCCTTCATGAATGGATTCATGGCAGTATCTCAAGAGCACATTTATCTTAAAAGTGAGTTTGACTCCCTCTTGCTCTCTTGTGCCTTCTTGCCTTCTGTCAGGGAATGATGCAGTAATAAGGTCTTGACAGATATAGGACACTGGACCTTGAAATTCCCAGGCTCCAGGACCATAAGAAATAAATCTTTTTTTTTTAAAAAAGTAAATTACCACAATATGGTATTCTGTTATGAGTATACGATGAACTAAAATAGAAAGCATCTCTACTTTAGCTAAGATTTCATGAAGGAACCAAAGGTGTCAAACATTTGGTTGTTGGGTTCAAAATCTTTGGTCCAGGTATAAGATAGAACAGATTTAGAAGAACATGGGATTAGGGGAGTCATTTTTCTCTCACTTCTTTTCCCACTACCATTAGGACTAGAAAATGTCTTTCTAAGTTGAAGAGGAATATAAGAGAAGGCAGGGAGGAGTAGAGAAGGGGAAGGCCTCTGCGAAAGGGTCCTATGTCTTGGCCCAGTCCTTATGACTGTGTAGGGGTGTCAAGGCAGTTAGGGCTGCAAGACAGCTCTCAAGTGTCTCACTTGGGAAAACTGCTAAACCCTCAGTATGCCCACACAAAGGATTTGGAAATCTCCTAGGGGAGTTGATGGATCTAGTGGTTGGATCTAGTAGTTAGATCCAGGAGACTTTATAACCTGAGTTCAGATGAAGTGTGGACTCTTTAGTTGAAGCCGATGTAAAGGCTGAGGGACAGACCCACACTCCACCACCATGTTTGTATGATCTCAAAGAACATGGATTTTGCCTTAGGAAGGAAAAACCCACCTGTATCCAGCAAGGCTGGTGTTTTAGCCTGGTATGACTGAGAAGACATTAAAATCTATTTA